AGTTACTGTTTAACATATTTTAGCCGTTTAATAAAATTGCACAATTGATAAAAATATTTGCAAGTGTTATTTAATTTTTAAAAAAATGCGAACTCTTCAAATTCAAATTCATTTATTTATTTGTGAAAACAGTGAGTTAGGTGTTCGTAAAAACAGTAGGTCTCGAGTACTCTACCACAGTTTGGTGTACAAATATATTACTTTCCGTTCTAGGTTTATAAATAAAATAGATAAGCTAAACATCAAGAAATTAGAGCTTTAGTTTTATATTCTGCGTTATTAATGAACTATTGTTATACAAGTAATATTTAATTTTCTTTCTAGCTGATGAGATGTATGTAGGTACTCCTGATTTTATTAGGCAACTTAATCCGTCAAAAATAACAATACGCACAACACTCGTACTTCGACGGTTCCATAGCACAGAGGTCAATTCCCGCATTTGTATGGCCTACAAATAATTGGTTCGCGTCTGATGTGTGTTCTGGTTGTGTTTTTTAAATATTTAATATTAATGTACTTATTCTATGCAGCATAACATGTTTTTTTTTTATTCGAACGTATAAAGGAGATTTCTAGACTCATACACAATGACTGAGACGTAAACACGATCCACGCGTGATCAACAAATCTACGCACTTAATAAATTGTATTGCGGTCGTTTAGGGGGGCCAGAATGAATAATGACAAAATATTGCGCAAAGTGGATGCAAGTATGCGTCGCGTATGTGCTAGATTGGTCCGTTCAGATGACTTTGTAAATTATATCTAAGCTTTTATCGGTCGAAGCCTACAAACAAATCTCTTTATATAAAAATCAATTGTTTTCCGTTAATCTCACAAAAACTCTAAAATGGCTCGACCGATTTTATGATTTTTTTTGTGTGCTTGAGTGGGTCTCTGGGTGGTATAAAAACTCGATTGAACAACAGCGCTACCTACCGGAAGTGGCGCTGTTTTCGAGATGCAGATATCACCCATATACATGGGCCTTGCTGGGTTTGCTACGCGGTTGTAGCACGAATGGGTCGGCTCGACCGGGGAAGGACCCCGCTCTCATAGAATACCAGCGTGAAATAGCAGTTCAATATTGGAAACGTGGCATTCGATCTTAGTCCTCAGGGGTGGCAATGCATCTGCATCTTAAATCTTAGTCGAGGATTGATGTCTATGGGTCACAGCATCCACTTACCATCAGGTGGACTGTGTGCTCGTTTGTCACCCTTATCCTATAAAAAAACACCCGTGTAAAGTCGGGGCAGATCGCTAGTCAAATTATAAAAATATTTTAATTTTTGACATGGTAAAACCATGCTGCAGTTATATTAGTATAGTAGTATAGTTGTAGCACGAATGGACCGGGGAAGGACCACACTGTTACAGAATACCAGCGTAAAATAGTGGCTTAATGCTGCTGTGTTTCGTATCCTTTTTACTGGCAAGGAGGCATTCCATCTTAGTCCTCACGTGTGACAACGCATCTGCATTTTGATTCGTAATCGAGGATAGATGTAGATGTCTATGGACCACAGTAACCACTTACCATCGGGTAGACTGTGTACGTTTGTCACTCTATCCTATAAAAAAAATTGATGAAACAAGGTCTCCATTCATAACAGTCTATGAAAAGTCAGCTATTGAACATAAGTCTCCTGTATAGATAATATCATAAGTGGAATATCAGCCATTGTTGCTTCGCTTGGTGAGGGGGTTGGAAACCGCAGTTTTTTATTGATTTCAGTTGTTGTTAAGAAGATGGTGTTGCCCATCTCCTGTTTCATTAACCTGTTCCGTCTCTTCTGACACTCACAGGGCGATATGGCCGTCACTACACGGCGTAAGACAATAAACTTTATAATATACCTTGAATACTGGATCAACTTTTTACCGTCTGGAAAAATAATAGGGTTTAACATATGAACGAAGTAGAAGCCAATGGCACTGATATTTTACAAAAAATAAGAACAAACAGTTTGAATTAAATAAATATATTAAAATCTATTGGCATTCAAATCATATCCACCCTACTTTACGAACGGCAATAAAACAATAAATTTTGTAGCCATCTTTGACCTTGTCATTTCGCAGAGTCACAGGGTAGGGTGGATATGATATGAATTTCGATAGATTTATTATTTAATTCAAAATTCTTGTTTTTATATTTTGTAAAATATTCAGCGCCATAAGCATCTACTCCGTCCACATGTTACACTCTATTTTTTGACCATACGGTAAAAGAGGTCACCAGTATATACCATGTACAGTGTGTAAATTTATTTGTGTAAATGTGTGTGTTAGATTGTATGAATGGTTTGTATAAACACACCATACATATGATAGAAAAAACTTCTATGTTATAGATAGGATGATCTACGTGATAGTATTCTTGTCGTATTATTTGTAATACATCTTTTGTTATAAGTCAGTGCTTTACTAACATTATAGTTTTTTAGTTTAGCATAAAAAGCTTATTCATTCTCACTTTAAGACGTAAATTGTAATCAGATGAAAAGACAGACTCAGCATCGTTACGTTATAGAGCCATACTGCAGTTATGTATATTAGTAGTATAATTGTAACACGAATGGGTCGGATCTACCGGGGAAGGACCACGCTCTCACAGAATACCAGCGTAAAATAGCAGATTAATATTGATGTGTTTCGTATGGTAAGTGTCGAGAACCGTAAACCTTTTTTACTGGAAAAGAGGCATTCCATCTTAGTCCTCACGGGTGACAACACATTTGCATTTTGATTCGTAATCGAGGATAGATGTAGATGTCTATGTGCCACAGTAACCACTTACCATCACGTGGACTGGGTGCTCGTTTGTCACCCTTGTCCTATAAAAAAAGACTGGCAAATTATTATACACATTTACTTACGCATTATGAACGACAAGACAAACAGTTTGGTTTCGAATGCGTGGTATGTTTACAACAGAGGCGTGAACACCAGCATTGCTGTTGTAATAACTCAGGTGGAAATCGTGTTTGGGTTCGTTTTCACATTTGACATTCGAATTGTTTTAATTAGTATCGATTATAAGCCGTTTTTTTTGGATTAATATCTAGAATTAACATCTTATCTTAGATTACAAAGTCAAATTGTAACGAGAAAACTACGCAATTAGATTAAAAACCACCGGTTAACGATTCCCATCAGAATACACAATCGTACTTATTAGTCTGCCCGATGTTGGTAGGGGAAAGTAGGAATTAAGTCGTACGAATCGTAACCTTTTAATAGTAAAAAAGAACAGTTTTTACATTTAAATACGGAAACTACGTAATGAATTTCTTCTGTATCATGCAGGCGTTTAAATACACACATTTTTATTCATTTAAAACCAGAATAGTTATTTGAAGGCCGCTTGCTACTCGTTCTGTGCGAATTTTGAACCCGCGACTCGAAGAGCCGCAGCGAAAGGTAAGCATTTAGCTAGTCACTGCGCAACCATGTCGTCACAATTGAAAGAAAGAAACAAAGAAAATATTTATTTTACCATGTAATGGCAACGCCATATTGTACATACTATTTCCCATAAACATTTATTGAATAGTACTAGACGTTTCCGAACGTGTCGAAAAGTGGTCGCACACAGCATTTGGCGTGGCGAACCACAGCAGCTGCTTTTTTAGTGTGGCCAGTTTCGTCTTTTATCAAAATGTCAATGTCCCTTGCATGCAGCGTAACCTACTGATTGACAGGCAATTCTGACATTCAATTGATGCTTGGAAATACAAAAATGTTAAACCTACCTACTAGCTTTTAAGGGGAAGAAGGAGCGGTATTACCAATTCGAAGCCGGCGACACTGCGGTCTACTACAGTACTAGATCCCGCCCAGCATAGTGAATATGTGAAAATATAACAAACTTATGGAATAGCCTCTGACAAGCAATTGAAGTAAAAAAAGGTTGATTATTTATATTTACGCGGAACACTACACATTTAAATAATACTAGTTGTTACGGATTTTATACGTATATAAATTTTTTTATATATCCGACGTTTCGAGCACTTTACAGCACCCATGGTCACTGGCGTACTGAGACTTTCAACGTTTATATGATATCAAAAAACTTCGGAAACGGAATGGAATACAACATTGTGAATACACAGCTGCTAGTAAGCGCTAAGAAGTATGTACAAAGCGAAGTAGGTACGAGAGTGGCACTAAGCTAACAGTTCTACGCTAAAGAAAGCGGGCTCTACTATCAAGCCAATCTAGAATTACAATAGTTAAAGCAAAAACACAAATTATATGCTATACAGAGTTCTAAGCTAATGATTATAAGCTAATGATTATCGAGAATAAAAAAAGGTTAAAGTAAAAAAAAAAACATTTTAATAGTTCAAACAAACATTTACGTAATTTTATATTACCCAAAAGTGCTCTACACCGGGGCTACGGGAACGCTTTCGCATGCCACGTAGTCGAGGCTGCGGTCGTGTTGGTAAAGTACTTGTTTTGCGTTTACTTACAGGCAAAAGACGTTGTATCTTGAATGATCATATAAATTAAGAAAACCACAATTCATTTTACATTTAAAAGGAATTTGGATTAAGCTATAAATTAAAAGTAATACAAATACACTTTTAGTGTCTGAAGACCTCTAGAAATAATAGTTCAAGGTTACCCGCCTCCTTCGCTGATCGTATAGTAGCTTTAATAAAAATTACTATTAAAAGAATCTAAATCCTATTCTATGATATATTTAAACGTGATAAAGTCATTCTGCAGCTATATTACCCGGGGAAAGAGATTTAGTAAATATTACTATTAAAAGATCCTATTCTACGATATATTTAAACGTGGTGGAGCCATTCTGCAGTTATATTATCCAGGTAAACAGATTTAATAAAAATTACTATTAAAAGATTTTACAGAAAGATTAGTGGTAAAGCCATTCTGCAGTTATATTATCAAGGGAAAGACCACGCTGTCATAAAATACTATTAACATTTACAATATTAAGTAAGATTATTTTATTGCAGTTGGCTGTACCTGAAAAAAGAGTGTTATCCTTCGGTATGACGCTGCCTGGGCAAGGCGTCACTGAAGGCCAGGTATGTTTTATGTAAATCCTAACACTAAACGTTCTAAAAGTTTTAATAACTTAATATTTAAATATACTTAGATCATATAATGTCTAGAATTATTTATTTCAATATTTTATATTTGCATTGGTTTTTGCTATTACATTTGCACCTGGCAACTGAAGCAACATCTTAAGTCTGCTACCGATATAGTTAATTGTTATTCAAATCATTTCTATTAATGTTTTCTTTTTAAACAAATTTATTAATAATCAAAATATACTTAAAAGTTCCATTTTCTTTTCATATTGCTTTTATATCTAATGTTTCATACATTAAATTTGATAGAGACAAAATAGAACTTTTAAATTTTAATTAATTTGATTTTTGATACGGATATCTTTAAATTATCATCTTATAAATGGCTGACACTCAGCGCGTAGTTGCTTCAGAAGAAATAATTATGGAAATATCATTTTAAATTTGTATGAGTTATATTTTTTATTAAGAATGATAAGGATGATGATTATAACTTTCAAATAAATTTGTCAGTACGATACGCGCGCCATCTACTGTAAATTAATCGTACTATGTCTATAAATTTCTCGCAAGTGCAATGAACGGTGTGGCAGCACACACAATACAAACAAACAAACATTTTTTTATATTAGATAATCGGAATCCGCTTTACGCACGAGCGTATCAAACAATGTATTTCTGCGCAGGCGCTGTTGGTGGAAGCTCTCATCACGTTCGTGTTGGTGCTGGTAGTGGAGGGCGTTTGCGACGGACGCCGCACCGACCTCAAGGGCTCGGCGCCGCTCGCCATCGGTCTCAGCATCACCGCCTGCCATGCCGCTTGTGTGAGTACTACTGTTCCTACAGTACACAAAATACACACAGACATACAATAAAACCAGCATAAACATAAACTATACAAAATGTGGTCGTTCGTAACTTGTCGTAAAGCGACAATTAAAAACTAAATAACCTAACCTAACTACAACAAAACAACCAAAAATAAAATAAATTATTTAAAAATTTGAAAAGATTTACAGTTTCTTTTATAAAAAAAAGGTATGAAGGTGATGATGGGCTGTAATGATGATAGTGATTTACAATATTATTAAAAAAAAATAACAAAAATAAAGATACTGCAACGAAGTATGCACAGGCTATGCCTATGATAGGTGCACAGCGCCTGCTCTAGGTACACGCAGAATCTGGAGAAAGCACATGCAGCGTCTGGAGAAGGTACACGCAGCGCTTGGAGTAGGCACACGCAACGCCCGGAGCAGATACACGCAGCACCCGGAGTAGACACGCAGCGTCTGGAGTAGGTACACGTGGCGCTTGAAGTAGGCAAACACAACGTCCGGAGTAGACACACACAGCGTCCGGAGTAGAGATGCAGCGTCTGGAGTAGGAACACGCAGCGCTTGAGACAAGCACGCTCAGCGGCCGAAGATAGCGCGGGCACTAATAGGTGGAGGCGTAGGCGTGGCTAGGCGACGACTTCAGGAGAAGGCTTGCAAGATCCCGAGGCAGTGCGGATAAAGCCTTTAAGAGGTGCTTCTCGTATCAAAGCTGAAGTGAGGACCTCTATCGGCCGATTCTTCGGCTTTTATACTTTTTGACGGATCTGGGATAAGAACGAGAAATTATTTGAAATTATTTAAATTAAAAGCAAATTTTTGTAAATGGCCAAGAAGAAAAGAGTATTTTTGAAGTAAAAACATCAGGCCGGTAACAATATTTGAATAAAAATTGCCACGACAACCAGATAAACAACGATGTCAAAACATGTCAAATTTTGGTTTTAAGCTCGTAATACAGAAACGGCAAGATTTAAGTGAAAAATGAGATATTATTTATATAGGAAAAAAGGTAGCGCAAGAGCGCGCACGAAACCCGAAATTGTAGAGTTACGGAGAACTAAATAAAAGATCGAAAAAAGGTAGACTCCATTGACACCGATTTAAAAAGTGCTGATAACGTGAAAATACGAAGTGAAAATGATTTGTTATTGTGTTCTTATGAATTAAAAATATTACAGGATCCTATGGAAATAAAGGTGATGCAAAATATCCAGTTTTGAGGTGAATGTAGAAAATCAAAAACAGAATGGAAAAATAAAAATAAAATAGTGTAAAATGATATGTAAGTATGTATGTAAGCATAACACTACATTTTCCCCCCGACCCTGGAAAATTTTTGACTCAGCAAAAATTTTGAGATGTACATTCCAAAATAAACCATAAAAACACAGCTTTGCAGTAACAGACATCACCAGGCAAAATCAGATATACAATCTCTTACATTCATCATCTGCATTCAGGTAAGGGTGGAGTTCACATTCAATGACTACCACTCTAAAAGTGTGTTTTCGAAAGGACATTCAGGCTTATTTAAGGAGTTGTCATCCGCTCCTGCGTGGAAAAAAAAAATTCGAAAGGACATCCAGGCTTATTTAAGGAGTTGTCATCCGCTCCTGAGTGAAGATAAAGTTAAAGAAATTAATCTTAAGCAAGCTTTAGTCGCTATGACTTAAGTAAAGATTAAGAACGGCCAGAGCGGTAGGGCTCAAAGCCAGAGATGAGCAACATCACTAAAAGTACATTCAGGCTTATTTAAGGAGTTGTAATCCGCTCCTGAGTGAAGATAAAGATAAAGAAATTAATCAGGTAATAATTATACATATATACAAACACATATACAAATATACAAACACATATACAAATATACAAACATATATACAAATGTAGTGTCATGCAAAACAGTATTAGCTGGTTCCTCACATCTAATCTTCACTTCGTATTTTTAAGGAATTCGTACTTAATAACCCTTTTCATTGTTATAATTAAGTGCAAAGTTAAGTTTAAGAAATAAAAATGTAATTAAAAATTGTACCTCTTTAAGTTATCTAGAATAAAAATATAAAAGTGATGAATGAAGTGAAGTGTTATATGTAAGTCTAAATATAATCCAGATAAGTTGAAAAACTAGATGAAGTTTTGTTTTAGAATTTGGAAGATAGTACCTCTTTAAGTTATCTAGAATAAAGATATTAAGGTGATGAATGTAAGTGAAGTGTTATATGTAGGTCTAAATATAAGCCAGATAAGTTGAAAAACTAGATGAAGTTTTGTTTTAGAATTTGGAAGATAGTACCTCTTTAAGTTCTCTAGAATAAAAATATTAAGGTGATGAATGTAAGTGTTATATGTAGGTCTAAATATAATCCAGATAAGTTGAAAAACTAGATGAAGTTTTGTTTTAGAATTTGGAAGATATGATAAGGATGAGTAAATAAAGAGTTAAGAACGAAAGAGAAAGCAATTCAATCAAAAGGAAATGGATAAGGCGTAGCTAAGGTGAAGAAAAGAAGAACTTTTACGTTGGGCGCCAAATTGTCGTAAAGCGACAATTAAAAACTAAATAACCTAACCTAACTACAACAAAACAACCAAAAATAAAATAAATTATTTAAAAATTTGAAAAGATTTACAGTTTCTTTTATAAAAAAAGGTATGAAGGTGATGATGGGCTGTAATGATGATAGTGATTTACAATATTATTAAAAAAAATAACAAAAATAAAGATACTGCAACGAAGTATGCACAGGCTATGCCTATGATAGGTGCACAGCGCCTGCTCTAGGTACACGCAGAATCTGGAGAAAGCACATGCAGCGTCTGGAGAAGGTACACGCAGCGCTTGGAGTAGGCACACGCAACGCCCGGAGCAGATACACGCAGCACCCGGAGTAGACACGCAGCGTCTGGAGTAGGTACACGTGGCGCTTGAAGTAGGCAAACACAACGTCCGGAGTAGACACACACAGCGTCCGGAGTAGACACGCAGCGTCTGGAGTAGGAACACGCAGCGCTTGAGACAAGCACGCTCAGCGGCCGAAGATAGCGCGGGCACTAATAGGTGGAGGCGTAGGCGTGGCTAGGCGACGACTTCAGGAGAAGGCTTGCAAGATCCCGAGGCAGTGCGGATAAAGCCTTTAAGAGGTGCTTCTCGTATCAAAGCTGAAGTGAGGACCTCTATCGGCCGATTCTTCGGCTTTTATACTTTTTGACGGATCTGGGATAAGAACGAGAAATTATTTGAAATTATTTAAATTAAAAGCAAATTTTTGTAAATGGCCAAGAAGAAAAGAGTATTTTTGAAGTAAAAACATCAGGCCGGTAACAATATTTGAATAAAAATTGCCACGACAACCAGATAAACAACGATGTCAAAACATGTCAAATTTTGGTTTTAAGCTCGTAATACAGAAACGGCAAGATTTAAGTGAAAAATGAGATATTATTTATATAGGAAAAAAGGTAGCGCAAGAGCGCGCACGAAACCCGAAATTGTAGAGTTACGGAGAACTAAATAAAAGATCGAAAAAGGTAGACTCCATTGACACCGATTTAAAAAGTGCTGATAACGTGAAAATACGAAGTGAAAATGATTTGTTATTGTGTTCTTATGAATTAAAAATATTACAGGATCCTATGGAAATAAAGGTGATGCAAAATATCCAGTTTTGAGGTGAATGTAGAAAATCAAAAACAGAATGGAAAAATAAAAATAAAATAGTGTAAAATGATATGTAAGTATGTATGTAAGCATAACACTACAAACTATAACCAACCTTAGAAAGAAGTAACTCCAAGTGTTGGGTGTCACTTTTTTTGCGCTCGAAGCAAATAAGGGCAACCCTCCGGTAACGGGGGAGGGAGGTGGGGAATGCTCATAGCATACCACGCAGCCGGCTGCGTGGTTATGTGGAGACTATTACCCATTAAACACCACCTTTTGGGACTGGCTTAATGGTCCAGCTCTCTAAGCCGTATAGCCGCGTCCGATACGGCGTAGAGATCTCTAAGCCGTATCGGACGCGACCCCCCCTTGGGTGAAAGGGGGGCGCAAGTTGGGTGTCACCCAACCAATGCAGCTTTATTATGGTGAAGTGGATTTAGATTTTATTTAAAGGCTTAAATGCGATTAAATAGTTAACAAAGAAGGGCTACGTCTTTTTATGTAGTAAAGCCACGCTGCAGCTTAGGTCTGCGGAACAGATTAGATAATAGTTACTTCGTTGAAAACGCATCTGCATTTTGATTCTTAATCTGGAATAGCAATAACAAGGAAGTATGAACGCAATCCAAGCGTTCATAAGTACAATTTTATGAATATGTCACTTTAATTTATATTGGTAATCGACATTTTAGATCCGTTTTTCCCGTTTATAGTATAGAAAGAAAGTCCTATTAACTGTACCTATTAATTTTAAAACGAAGCGAAAATTGAATTAGACACGTATAAACGGTAAAGCACGACAGCATGTTAGGAGAAACCTGATTAAACTCGCCATATGTTAGGTCTGACCCTGCCCCTTCACAATCAGTCATCTTGTGTAAATACTCGTTTATATATGGCTAAACAGTTTGGTACTAAAGTCTAGCGTTCTCTTAATCTTTGTGGATTTTAATTATAAAGTAGTTTATAGTTAAAGCTAAAGCAGCAATAGATAAATAGGAATTTTATCTTTAAAACTCTAAAGATTTAACTTTATAGATTAAATAGTTAAGAATTTTGTATTATTAAATATTTATATAGATGTCTAATGTATATGTTCTTGTTACTTTTTCGAAATAAAATGCCTTTCTAATTTATTTATTTTTCCTTATGTCAACACAAATTCCATATTAGTAATACCAATTATATCTAAAAATTTCGATATTTCCTAACATGTTGTTTAAAAAAGTAATTCATTTACAGGTTCCTTTTTCCGGCTCGAGCATGAACCCGGCGCGTTCATTTGGACCCGCGCTTGTTATGGGTGATTGGACTGCACACTGGGTATGTATTTTATGAAAAATTAAAAAAAAATATCTTAAAATAACATCTTATTAACAAAACATTTTTCCAAAAAAAGGATTTAAGACATCTTTACATCTATACTCTATTCTATATCTATACATCGATACATATATAATCTGTAGAAAAATTATTTGTTCACAATTCACGCAAATACTACTCGACGGATTTCCTTGAAAGGCAGTAAATGATGGCGTATAACATACAGACGTAGACTTTTTTAGAAGGGTAAAAAAGAAGTGTTATGTTTTCTTTTTTTATGTTTATTGTAATAGTAGTTGTGGAAGTTCTATTAGTCATAAAGAGAATTTAGCCATACGTATTACGTTGAATAAATCTATAGAAAAGTGTGTGTGTGTGTGTGTGAAAATGAAACTCATTGTGCAACCAACCAGAAAGGGCAGAATAACATCTGGCGGGCCAGCTAGTATAATATAATTTTTATAATTATTTTTTATTTTAATAATGCAATGTAATTTTAATGATATTTTAAATGAAGTTTAAACGATTACACCTCTAAACGTCGTCGTATACGTCATAATGATGTGAAAACCACCGTGTAAGATTCTCACAATACATACATGCAGATATAAAATCATAAATCTAAAGTACCTATCGAAAAAAAAAATCTACGTATTTCAATTTTTATAAAAGTTTTTAAATAATACAATATTTTTGTTATAAAACCACTGACAGAATTTAGGGGATGGCAAAAAAGGCAATGCTCATAAAACTGTCGGCTCCGTAGTTTGGTTGCGGTGTAGCGTTGTGGACCTGTAGATCGCCAATTCGACACCTGAGCGGGACAAAAATTCATATAGCATGCAAATAATTGATCCGGATCTTTTATATGTTAATGTGCAATTTGTGTATTTGGAAATTATAAGCCAAAAAACTATTAAGAACGACAGAAAAATTTACAATAGATATAAAATGTAAAAGTGTGCTACAAAATTAGAAATTTGATTTAATTATGTCCATATAAGAATTGATTTTCACCGAAATTGCATTCAAATTTATTCCTAAATGTGTTTTATCGGGCCATATATAAATATATTTTTCCTTTAATGAAAACTTGTGATGCTAAGTAGTTTTCAAAATATAAATTTTACTCTAACACTTGTCGAAAAATTTACAATAGATATAAAATGTAAAAGTGTGCTACAAAATTAGAAATTTGATTTAATTATGTCCATATAAGAATTGATTTTCACCGAAATTGCATTCAAATTTATTCCTAAATGTGTTTTATCGGGCCATATATAAATATATTTTTCCTTTAATGAAAAATTGTGATGCTAAGTAGTTTTCAAAATATAAATTTTACTCTAACACTTGTCGAAATTAAATTATAAAGGCATCCATGTGAAAGCGAAATAATTCCGTATGCTTAATTTATTTGCAAATTAAATTAAATTACTTTAAAGCATAGGTTGCTGAACTTTCGACTGCAAGCGACGGGTTAGTGTTGTGTTCAATAAAATTTACAATTTTATCAAGCTTCGGTAGTGAGTCCCGTGACCAATCTTTAATCATAGATCTCACTCACTTTCACTTTGCATCACGTGAATCGTCCAACACCAAGAAGCAAGAAGTAACAGATGTGTAAGAATGTTACGTGTGAACATAATGTGCACTTTTTATATATATCACACGCGTTACATAATGCGATCCAGTTCTTGGGTTCGGTTTTGTCACCTGTCTTGTATTACGTCTTCTTCTCTAATTTGCGTAAACTTAGCAACGCGATTAGCATGATCTTTAAGAGCTTTTTCAAATCCACCTCTGTGGTCAGGTCTTTCCAAAATTGTGTTAGCTAGCAAACATTACCCATACTCACAAAACTCACAACAACAGGTTATTTGGTGAGTGCAATGGATACTCTTGTGTTTAGTGATTTCAATCGATTTTCAACTAAATTAGCTAATAAAGCATTATGTAGCCCTGGTGACTGCAGTGATACTTAAAAAAATCTGCAGGCATGTTCTATTCCGTAAGAGTCCAGAATTTGTACGACCAACAAATAAATGTTTCAGGTCTGGGTCACAGTCTTTGAGCAATTTATTTAAAAAAAACACCTCAACAATAAGAGAGAAATTCGTAGTATGGTCGTGTGGTTTAAAAGAAGAACAATGTTAGCTTATACTTCCATTTATCCCAATACAATTGAAAATTCAATTCGATTTTAATTTAAAAAGAAACACATTAAAAAAATAAACTTTGGTTTTTATCAAGGTTGTAAGGTTGTATTACTTACAATTAAGTTTTATCTATCACTTATTTAAAATCAGCATCAAGTGTTTCCACATCAAATATGTTAACTTTAGTTACTTATTCATAAAGTCGTTCGTATTGTAAATACAGTCAAAGATTGTAGCTTCCTTTAACAAGTTACAAAACGTTTTGCGAAGGAAGTAAATGTTTGATCTTCGATCACAACTCGCCAACATTTCTTAGCAATGGCGAGAAGTCTATTAACGAAATCATATAGATACTTGTTTCACACGTCATTTGATACTGACAATATTTTCGATTTTTAACAACATTGTTAGTCGAGCAATAATTAGATAATTGGATATAATTAAATAATTGGATATATTAAAATAATATTTTCTATTTTAATTGATTCTTCCATATTAATAAAAATAGGATCAACCCCCTTTCATCTTTCGTGTATCTTAATATATTTTCGTATTTCGTATATAAATAACGTGTCACGTTATTTGTCCGCGATGGACTTCTACTCTGCTCTGCTACTCAACCTACTCAATCTACTCAACCGATTTTAATAAAATTTTCACACCGTGTGCAGGTCCAACTTGAAAGATAGGATAGTTTTTTTTGCCCATAAGTGACCCACAACTTTTATTGCGATTTTAAGTGTTTTTAATAGGACATGACAAAAGGTCGTCGAAACGGGCAGGACAACGTCTGCCTGGTAAGCTAGTATAATATAATATATAAATTTTTTAGAGATCAATAAGTAAGTTGACACCTGCCACAATAGCTCACCACGCTACGGGTTGACTGACAGAGAATGCCGACAGGCATTAAGTCCGCCCATTGTTACCTTAGTTGTAATATGTTACAATTAAGAATAAATAAATAAATAAAACAATCATGCCATTATTAAAGTTGGTAGTAGTTTAAAAAATGAATTAAATGCATAATCCAGATCGGTTTTATAATTTAGCTGGACGCATTAAAAATAGATTAATATAATTTACGAATGAAAAATCTTATCAGCATCTTAAGTGCTATTACGTGGGGATTTCGTGATGCAAAACCGCACATGATAGCGACTCCATTGTGTGGAGTGCTTTCTCATGCATGATGGAATGGCAGAAAGCGTGGACCATTTCTATAGAAAACGAGCGCTAGATACCGCCATTTTCCGACGGTCAAACGGTTGTATAATTCAGAACAATGAAAGTAACTTTAATTTCTTCCTATATCGCTGTACACACGCACAGAGATAATAACAAAAGTGCTCTCAGTTCTTTCACTTTTTTTAAGTAAGCAATATCTTATTAGACGATAAAATTAAACTTTTTAACTTTTAAAAGCGAAAACTGACGGAGGCTTGATATGGACCTTACATTATAATGTCGTCCAGATCGATTTTTGTTCACAGCGGTTGGTCCCAACGGAATCTTAGCCATCTGCGCAGAACACGCTTATATATCTCTATTCCCTCACTCTCGTTTTCCAATGGAACAGTTATCAGACACGACCGAAGAGAAATCAGGTGCAGAATCAACGGCCTTAAGTGCTTTCCGAGCCACGGGGGTGAAACACCGTCAGCTTACTGACTCCAGGCAGCTACTGAGAATTTCTCGACAGAAAAACCCAACACAACATAACAACTGACTAACAACGAGGCTTTTATTTTATAAATTTATGTATAAAAAGAAATCGGCTAAAATATCACATAGCATACCTAGTACCTACATACTTGTCTAATAAAATACAGTAATGTACATTTAACCAAAATATAATAAGCAACTTAATTTGAATTCTCTTTCCAGGTATACTGGGTGGGCCCGATCGTTGGCGGGGTCAGCGCTGGTCTCGTGTACAAGTACATATTACGCATCGGTAAGAGCGGCGAGAGCGGCTCATACGACTTCTAAGTTACTCCAATTAACCCATTCATTGGTGCCTTACCTTAGCTCCATAACTGAACCTCTCGCATTACTAAAGTACTAACCAAACGCGCATTTTTCATATTGCTCTAAACACATAGTGTTGTTCTAGGATTGTAGCTGAGGTTAGCTAAAAATAAATATCACAAATATGAAACTACTTGACCTACATTAATGTAAAAAAGCTTTCCAAGACAACATACTATAAATTATTATAAATAAGCATTACTTAGTCCTTAACGATTTGTTTATTAACCCAAACAAGTTTAAATTTGGCAAATGTACCGCTCACCTAACAAATAAGTAATTACTTACGATAAAATTATAAGTAAGTACGCAAAAAAAAATTGGAATGACTTATGGTTTAAAACTGATTTTTATTAATATTAAAAACAGTAATAAGTACAAGTCTCTACCACATATCAGACACAACCTAAGATAATGCGAGAGGTCGGCATGAGAATATTGTACGTGCTCGTCGATAGAATCCTAACAAATATAATTTGACATTTGAATGTTTTCTCATCACAGATTATAAATTATTTATCAATGAGCATATACCGGAAATGCTTGTTATGATCAACTGTTTTGGAATGTCCCAAAACCGATATCTTCTGAAATATAAAAACGATCGACTCTTGTTTAATATTTATTTGAAATATTGTTTTATACATAAGGTCACATGTAAGATAATGTTTAGATAATAAGATAGAGTTTATATAGTTAAGACTATTTATAAAATGTATTTTATTAAGTTAAGTGTTTATGATATAAAATGTTTGTAAGTCACTCGTACCAGCAGTGTTGTGTCGTTGTGAATTTAACAGCGTTTACATTTACTCTAAATTTATAATGACAAACACAATTCATGCGAAATATCTATTTAAAAATAAACAATTCAATAAAAAAAAATTTATTTCCCTGTTATTTTTAAGTTAAATACACAATAAAAACCTTTTGCCCGTCGTAATTAAGGATGACATGCGATTTAAAAAAAGATTTGTGGCTGATGCAAACAGACTCATTTAATATAATCATCGTAAGCCATTGAAATTAAAAGATACATACACAAATGTATTATCTTATATATATCAAAGAAGGTCAATGATTTTTGATTACCTTTTTAGAACTCATAGCACACAAAATCGCTACTAAGTGTTAAATTTCGAAAAATGATCAGAACTGATGGTTCAAAGAAATTGCAAATTCTGAGAATTCTATTAATGAAAAGAATTCTCAGAAAACACTTTTTAAGGCGATTAATAATTCTTGGGCTCGCGAGACAATCCTGTAATTGCAATTGAATGCTCTTAGTAAAAATCAAAATATTCCTACATAAATTATTGATGCCTCAGGATTGACTCATTCGAAAATATAGATTTGTAGAAAATTGACGTTAGACATATGAAACTTTAATTATCTATAAAGTAAAGTAATATTTCATTTCATTCCATATGCATTGCATATGCAAAAGAGGGAAATTGATGCAATTTTTGGAGACGCCTAAGTTCAGTAATAGACTTTTTTATAGGCTGCAACGAATGAGTGAACGAATGAAAGGCCAGAGCTGGGCACCGACTTTCGGTCTGGTTGCTGCTTACCTTGCTCTATTTGTCGCTACATCTAGCCGATGCTCAATATGCCTAATCACTATTTACAGTTTAACACAAGGCAAAATTTATCGTCTCTGCAACAGATGTGAACTTTTTAGATTTTTAAAACTGTTAAAATGTCGGAATTTTGGATCTTATTTAGTCGACCAAGTGTAATAATACATCTTTGTTAGTCGCCCTTTTCATTGCGCTAACTCAATACGGAGTGAAAATAAAACACTTTGCAATTTCCGGTTTAGCCTAGCATTTTAATTTTTAACGCTAGCCGCCCAGGATATTTTTCTATTACATATTTTCTCGTACCACAAAACATCTAATTGTGCTACGCACCCGTACGTAAAGAATTGTAAATATAGAGAAAATGTCCGAATAATTAAACTTGTTATAACTAGCATGTTGCTAACAAAATAATCTCACTTTCTATTCTATTTAGTAGTAATGATCACAGCCACAAGTGTGTCAAACATGAACAAGTACAGAGAGTTGGCCTTGACCCTTACTATTTCTATGTAACACATGTGACGAGTCTTACGATTCGAAACAATAGCCAAATCGAACATGCCAGAGAAAAATTTAGACATAATATTAAGATTTAACCAATTTTATAATAGTCTATATAAAATTAATTACACTTCATTACACTTTACGCCTTATTTATATACTAGATATATATATATATATATATATATATATATATATATATATATATATATATATATATATACCAGAAGCCAGAACCAAAAGCAACCATTGACAAACACAGATCATAGATTAATCGCGCTCTATAATCTGTCAAAACAAACACTGGATGATGTAACAATTAGGGTTTTATCCAAAGGCCTCAATTTTGCTATTACACCACGCAAATTACCGTCCGAAGAAATTATCTGTAGTGTCGAGGACTGTTTATTTAAAAACAATATGCGGAAAGAAGATTTGTAGGCGATACGTCAAGACATTTCATCTATGTTACGTCGATGTTCAGTGCCTAAACCGAATCTTCCCAAAGACGAATTTATAGCGTTAAAGAACCTACGCAATAAACTAGAACTTACGATTCTCCGCGCAGATAAGGGAAACGCCACGGTAGTCATGGATACGTCAGATTATAATTCTAAAATGGATGGGGGATGAGTCGCTCGCGCGGGGGATGAGTCGCTCGCGGGGGGATGAGTCGCTCGCGTCCGTAGGGAGGATGAGTCGCTCGCGTCCGTAGGCTTCGACCACCTAACCTTAGGCCCACCCTACACGTGTCCCCCGGGTGGTACTAAACGAGCGACAAAGCCGTAAAAATAGACTCGGCTCCTCGCCGTATGGTAACGGCGTAAAATCTATCACCACCCCTTGTTCGCAACATGAGTCAGGAAATAAAAGAAATGGCCCCGAGTTCCCGGCGCCCCTTTAATGGGGCAGGGGTGCGAAGAATCTCCGGCAGAAAAACCGGCGACGAGGTTCGCCACCCGTCACGTTCTATCTCCCGGAGGGGCGAAAAGTGGATTGCGGAAACCCGTCTGGCTACGCTGAATGTATGTGGAGGAATGAATGATAAGATGGATGAAGTATGCGAAATGATGAATGACAGAGGAATAGATGTGTTATGTGTGAATGAGACGAAACGAAAGGGAAAGGATGCCACTGCACATGGCACGTATTGGTCTGGTGTAGACGAGACCGAACGGGCATGCCAGGGAGTCGGTTTCATCCTTTCAGAAAGAATGGGTCATTGTGTGAAAGAGTATGAATGTGTAAGCCCGAGGCTGCTATGGATACGAATGAAAGTGGGCTTAAAGAAGTTGTTCCTGCTAGGGGTGTATGCCCCAGACATGTCTAAGCCCATTTACATCCGAGAGCAGTTTTGGGACATGGTAAGGATGGTGTTGACAAAATGTAAGGAAAATGAAAATATTATTATGTTAGGAGACTTTAGTGGAAGGGTTGGGGTCTGGGAGAGGTCTGGTTATGAAAGGATATTGGGAACGTTTGGTGATGAAAGTATAAATGAGAATGGTGAAGACCTCCTCACCGTATGTGTGGAAAAGAATCTTTTTGTGACGAATACTTTTTTTCGTCATAAGAAGATTCACATGTATACATGGAAAAGAGGTGATGATAGAAGCATGATAGATTTCGTAATTGTGGATGAAAGAATGAGGAGCGCAGTCGTTGATACAAGGGTTTACCGGGGGTCCAACGTAGGGACGGATCATTACTTGGTCTAATGTCGAATTAATGGTCTTTTCAAGCGTTGGCGGCATCGGACATCTGTGTCTACCACTGCGTTACAGCGTATAAGAATAGAGAAGTTACAAGATGAAGATGTGAAAGAGAAGTATAAATGTAGACTGAGAGAAAATATTAGATGTTTGAATGAGTTGTGTATGAATAATTTAGACTTGAATACTCTGTGGGATAATATTAAAAAAGGTTTGGTGGATGCCGCCACCAAAGTATGTGGTGTAAGTAAGAGAACAAATGAAAGGAAAAGTAATACGTTGTGGTGGGATGATGAGGTACGGGTAGAAGTTGAATCAAAGAAGAAAGCATGGTTAGATTTACTAGCAACCGAAGCTGGTAATTCTTCTGGTATGAATGATGAGATTGAAAGAAAAAAGGCAGAATTTAGACGTCTAAATAAGAGAGTAAAAGAAGTTGTTGAAAGGAAAAAGAAAGAAAGAACGGATAAGAATGATAGAAGGATATCTGATAATTTCCAGGCTAACATAAAAATGTTCTGGAAACTCGTAAGAACTGCCAGGGGAAATACAAAACAGCCTATAATTAATGCTATAAGAGACGAGAATGGATGTATTCTGAATGATGAAGTTTCGAATTTAAACAGATGGAAGGAATACTTTAAAAGCGTGTTTATGAGTGAAGAGTCGTCTCAATTAAATGAACTTCCGAAAACAAATTCCGAAAGAAGTGGAAAGGGGTATGGAGATAAGTGTAAATGAAATAATGAAAGCAATGAAAAGCATGAAAGCAGGTAAGACAGCTGGATATGATAGAGTATCACTCGAGATGCTAAAGGCTGGAGAGGGAGTGGTGGTAGGCCTGCTGTACACCTTGTTTAATTTATGTTGGGAATTAAAACGGGTACCGGATGACTGGTGTAAAGCAGTTATAGTACCAATATATAAAGGAAATGGATCACAGCAGGACTGCAAAAACTACCGTGGTATCAGCTTACTTAGTATTGTGGGTAAACTGTATGCTAAGGTGTTAATTGAAAGAGTTATGAAAGAAACTGATGGAAAAATTTGGGATGTGCAAGCGGGTTTTAGAAAGGGAATGGGGTGTATAGATCAAGTCTTTTCCATGCGCATGATTGCGGAGAAGTTTTTGGCCAAAAACCAGAAAGTTTTTTGTACATTC